GTTTGGAGAACAACTTTCAAAAGACTTAGAGTCCTGAGAGGCTTCGCCGGAAGAAGGGAAGCTATTGCAATATATAAACAACATCTTAATAGCCATTCAGACAAAAGAGACGGGTGTTGCCTGAATGATAAGCCTGTTAAATTTTCTGTGACTCCAGGGATATAGGGTATCCAAGAAAAAAGCCCAGATAGTAAAGCAAAAATAATTTACCTAGAATATGAAATTAGTACTGGACAGCGAACACTTGACACAAGACCGAAAAGAGACAATATGTCAAATGCCAAAACAAGATGACGTAGAGATAGTGGTGACTAACACTGTCAACCCAGCTTCCTTCCTCAGTGAAAACAAAGGAGAACCGGTACACCATGATTGCCTAAAAACCATTGAGGCCACATAATCCTGCCGTCCAGACCTGAAGGATAGCCCTTTGGACGACGCAGAAACCGGGTTTACTAATGGGAGCAGTTATGTCATCAGTGGAAGATGACATGCTGGATATGCAGTTAACACCTGCAGAGAGGTAACAGAATCTGGACCTTTGCCAATAAACACATCTGCACAAAAAGTGGAACTAATTGCTCTGACTAGAGCCTTAGAAATAGCAAGAGGAAAAAATATAAACATCTGTACAGACTCAAGATATGCATTTGGGGTTGTATAGGCACAGGGAGCCATTTGGAAAGAAAGAGGACTATTAAACTCACAAGGGAAAAACATCAAATATGCACAAGAAATAATACGACTGTTGGAAGCGATCCAACTACCTGAGAAGGCAGCAATTATACACATCAAGGCAAACCAGGTGAGCTCAGAATTGGAGGAGGGAAATGAGCTGGCGGACAGAGAGGCAAAAGAAGCGGCAAAAGGTGAGATGACAACAGAAGGGGCCCTAATTCTGGATGGGCAAATTTCCCTGAAAGGTAAGCCAAATTATGATAAAGAAGATTAGAAATTAATTATAGACCAAGGCAGAACCTTCAATGAGGAAGGGTGGGCTAGCACAGCACAGGGAAAAATAATAGTCCCCTCTTACCTGTTATGGTCCCTAGTAAGGAGTGAATATCAAAAACGCACTGGAGTGAATGCCTTGCATAGGCATTTAATAAGCAAAATTATGGCTAGAAACCTGTATAACTCAATAATGCAATCTCTGCCTCCAAACGAATTCCAAAAACAACCCTAGGCCAAAGATAGGCCAAACTGGGAGGGGTAACAGGTCAGGACAACAATGACAAATTGACTTCACGAAACTGCCAAGAAAAGGGGGGTATAGATATTTGTTGGCATTAACGGATACCTTTTCAGGTTGGCCAGAAGCCTTTCCAACTAGAACTGTGAAAGCTCAAAAAAAACCCACCCCACAATCAATGCTAAGAGTATATGCCTTGACAAAAAGCAGGATATTTGTCATTTTGAGATGCCAGAACTGTGTTTGTTTCAGAACTGCTTATGTTTCTGTGAAGATGATGAGATTATCACTGTTGGAAATTATTTCAACCTTTATATTTGTGTGACTTTACATACTTAAAACCAGTTGTATCCCATCAACTAATAAATTGTCACCCACATCCATTAGAATGAATCTTAAAAATAAACAGGGTCTTACAAAAAGACAAGATACAACTCATCACTGGTGGGATGTACTTTTTGGGTGGTCACCTATTGCAACTGGTGTTCTAAATATGCTTCTTCACCCTATAGTTGTTCTTTTAATATTAGTAGGAATAAATTTTATATTCTCTACTGTGCTGTTAGTTTGAAATTGGAAAATGCTGCAACAAGTAGAAGCTCTAATTTCTTTGTCAAAGACACATGATAAACCACTGATATCTTTTGTAGAAGCTCGCTAGGAAAAGAGCCTATGTATTAGTAAAAGAATTCACTAACTTTATAGAAAAGGGGGGACTGATGCAAAGGGTTAACCGACGTACAGGGGAGGTAGGTCAAGCTGCTTACTTAGGTGTTACTTCTTGCTCATGCTTATCATACTTGCAATGTACAAGGGGGTAGATCAAGCTGCTTGCTTAAGAATGTTACTATTCGTTCATGCTTATCATACTCGCTGTATATGCTAGAATAAAATATAAGGAGGTGGCTATTGTTAAGAGATAGGGACCGTGACTTGATTCCAGTCCTTTGGACGCCTAGGCCGGCTGAAACTGGCTCTGCAGTTTGGACAATGACCAAGCCTCCAAAGAGCACGCATAAAGACTAGAGGTGAAAAGTTCAGGCTCGAGGAAGACTTGTTTACTTCATCTTGAGACTCTCGCCCATGACCACCAGGAGGTACTGCACAGGCATAAAGGAATTCTTAGCTCATTATAATACGAAGTGGGGATAGGACATGAATATGTATAGGCATGTTGTGGAACCTCAGACATATGTATAACTTTAGAGAATAAATATAAAGGGAAATGACGCTAAGGTGCGCATGCTTTTGGAGGAGCTATCCCCCATACGCCTCAGCGCTGAATAAAGCATAGCTACTTTACAGTTTTAATGAGCTGTGGAGTCTATCCGCGCATCAAGAGGAAGGCAGGTTCAAGGGCGCTATTTTCATTTTGATCACTCACTGAACAGCAAGCACCACACCAGGTCAGCAAACTTGTCACAGCTCCAAACATCCACCATGGGGAAGGGAAACTGAAGCAAAGAGGCAGAACCTGCCCAGGCTGAGCCAGGAGCTGGTTGTGGGCCCAGGGGAACAGCCTGCGGGCCTCAGCACAGCCAGCCTCCTGCCAGCACAGCTGCACAAGTCCTGATGGCATCCTGGCTTCCTGCACAGCTGGCTTCAAGTCAGGCACTCCTCAAGAAATGCAGATTCCAAAATTAAACTAGAGAAACTGGTTCCAATTTATCTTATACTTCCAGACAGGCAGAGTCCTGCAGGTAGGGTGTGCTGCCTCTGCATGCTGCCAGGCCTGCAGCCACTGGCACACAGGAGCAGGTGAGAGCAGAGCTACAAAGAGCACTTCAGCACCATCCTACAGACAGCAAGAGGCCTGGAGATGGCTTGACATTACATCCAACCCAAAGGAAGCCACCAGATCAAGCCTCAGACATGACTAGTCAACAGCAGCAGCAACGGCTCAAGGCTCCCAATGGCCAGATATACACAGTGTGACTCCAGAGAGCATCGTTCTACAAGACACATCTGCTAAGTCACTTGACAGAGCCTCTGCACCCATGTCTGGCAACACACTCATGTTTAGCAGCACTCACCAGCACTGGGACTTTGCTCTCCATGCCATGGGGCATCTGCTGGGCTCTCAGAAGCCTTTACCCAAACCTGTAACTACTGTTGTAGAAGCACAACTCAGAGCAGTGAATTACTGAAGAAGGGGTTAGCACACAAAGGGTCATTTAAGGACTTCGGTGCAGTCAGACTTGTATCTCCCACAACTGTTTTTGCAGATGCTCCATCTGACATGATCACCTCTACAGTGATAGGCAGGACAGTGACAACACCAGTCCTTTCAGCCCAAGGTGAGGACACTACATACACACGACAAGAAGGAAGCTGAGGGTTTTCCCAGTACCATCCAGCATAGATATGATGAGCCGTGAATTCAGGAGACAAGTCAGGACAAATCAAACCCCTGTCCTTTTCAGTACTAGGCTATCACATGACAACTCAGAGGAAGGGAAGTAAGAATCACTGCATCTCTTACCATTACACATCCCTTTTATTCAGAAAATGGTAGCTGAAAGCCAACAACATCGTCACTCCTCAGGGCCCTCATTTCTCCCGGTTATCCACCGCTGCAAGAGGCAGTGTCCTTCTCACCAAGCAGGCGGCTCGAGCAGCTGCCCACTTCCACTGCAGAGGCTGGAATGACATTTCATTTGCTTCATGAGCTCTGCTCATCAAGATGTGGCTGATGTTCAGGGTAAACACATACCTTCCCGGTGCCCTATCAGAAGCCTCCTGGGAGGAATCCAACAGCTACAGGAGGTGGGATAGTGGGGCTACAAATTGGAGACAAGGCTTAGTACAAAACACCTCAGCACTCCAAACATTTCTTTCCCAATAACAGTGTTCAAACCCTCAGAGAAAACATCCCTATCTCATCTAGCCAGCACTTAGTTTGCCTCAGACATATTTCCACATTAAGTTTCAGTACTTTGCAAACACCCAGGTGGTACAGAGTTCAAATTTGCTGTTCAACCAGTTTACAACTTCAGGCTCTTTCCCTACATGCAGAACTTTAATCCTTGCTTTAACAAGCAGCAGCAGAACGTGGCCGCGCATACCCAAGCATCACTGCAGTGGAGACAAACCCCAGGCCTAGCAGCTTTAAGAGCCTTCACATAGGTAACCTGGCACTCACATCAGAAGAGCTTCACACCTTCTCCTCCTCCCACAGGGAGGTTTTTCGTGCTGGAAATGGGCCTCACAGAATAATTTTTACATGGCACGAGCCCCTGCGCAGGCGCAGTCCAGGAAAGGAAAAGCGGCGACATTTTATGATAGTTTATTGCGCAGGGTCATTGTGAGCGGCACCAGCCATGGGAGCCAACCCCAGGGGTCACCCGGTCCCAGCCCTGACGCGGCAGGGACACCCGAACGTGTCCAGGCGGGGCTTGGATGTGCCCAGAGAGGGAGCCTCCACATCCCCCTACACAGCCTATTCAGTGCTCTGACACTGCAACAGAACAAGTTCTTCCTCATGTCCAGGTGAAAGCTCTTGTGTTTCAGTTCATGGCCACTGCTCCTCATCCTGGGGCTGCCCACCACTGAAAAGAGTCGGGCACCTTCCTCCTGGCACCTGCCCCAAACCTCCAATCAGCTCCCTCCATCACCTCTCCTCTTCTTCATCTCTGAGGGCTCATTCTCCTAGGAAGAAACTGCTTTCACCCTCCACAAGCAGGGTGGTCAATGGGAAGGGGAGACATTGGGCTTTGCTCACAGGGTATCAGACCTCACCGCTCCCCACACTCACCCCACCTAGGGCTCCCCTGTGGGTCTGCTGGTGCCGGAAGAGCGCCGAGCTCACTCTGAAGCCCTTCCCACACTCAGCACAGACGTAGGGACGCTCCCCGGTGTGGATGCGCTGGTGCCGGATGAGGTGGGGACTCTGCCGAAAGCTTTCCCCACAGTAGGTGCAGATGTAGGGCCTCTCCCCGGTGTGGATCAGCAGGTGTTTAATGAGCGCGTAGCTCCGGTCAAAGCTCTTCCCACAATCCATACACTCGTAGGGTTTCTCCCTGGTGTGGACTTGTTGGTGTCGTGTCAGGGCTGAGCTCAAGTTGAAGCTCTTCCCACAGCTCCTGCACTCGTAGGGTTCCTTCGCAGTGTGCACCCACTGGTGCTGGACGAGCTTTGACTTGTAAGAGAAGCTCTTCCCACACTCGGCACATCTGTACGGCTTCTCCCCGGTGTGGACTCGCTGATGTCGTGTCAGGGATGAGCTCACACTGAAACTCTTCCCGCAGTTCGTGCACTCGTAGGGTTTCTCCCCAGTGTGCACCCGCTGGTGTCGTGTAAGGGCTGAGGTCACGCTGAAGCTCATCCCGCACTCAGCACACTTGAAGGGCTTTTCCCTGGTGTGGACCCACTGGTGTTGTGTCAGGGCTGAGCTCACACTGAAGCTCTTCCCACAGGTGCTGCACTTGTAGGGTTTCTCCCCGGTGTGCATCCGCTGGTGTCGTGTCATGGATGAGCTCACACTGAAGCTCTTCCCACACTCCATACACTCATAGGGTTTCTCTTCAGTGTGCACCCGCTGGTGCTGGAGGAGCTGCGAGCTGTCGGAGAAGCTCTTCCCGCACTCGGCACACTTGTAGGGCTTCTCCCTGGCGTGGGTTGACTGGTGCCGGATCAGATTCGAGCTCATGCTGAAGCTCCTCCTGCAGGTCTTGCATTCGTAGGGTTTCTCCCCAGTGTGCACCCGCTGGTGCAGGACAAGCTGCGAGTTCTTGGAGAAGCTCTTCCCGCACTCAGCACACTTGTAGGGCTTCTCCCCAGTGTGGGTTAACTGGTGCTGGATCAGCCTCGAGCTCACACTGAAGCTCTTCCCGCAGGTGCTGCACTCGTAGGGTTTCTCCCCAGTGTGGACCCGCTGGTGCAGGATAAGCTGTGAGTTCTTGGAGAAGCTATTCCCACACTCGGCACACTTGTAGGGCTTCTCCCCGGTGTGGGTCACCAGGTGCTGGTTCAGCTTCGAGCTCACGCTGAAGCTCTTCCCGCACTCAGAGCACTTGTAGGGCCACACCCCTGTGTGGATGCTCTGGTGGTGAATAAAATGTGATCGGTGATGGAAACTCTTCCCACATTCGGTGCAGGTGAAGGGTTTTTCTCCAGTGTGGATTCGCCGATGCTGGATGAAGTTGGAGCTCACCTGGAAGCCCTTGGATCTCTGAATCCTTTCTGACCTGCGTGGGAGAACAGGGTCCTGTGCACGACCCTGGGAACTGTTCTCCTCGGAGAGTCTTGAGCAGAAACCCTTGGCCTCCACTAGCCTGGGTATGCCTTGATGGGCATTGTCTTCATTCGTGCTCACAATCCCATCTTCAGCTGCAAGAAAATGAGAATCCAGATAAGTCACAGGCAGGACTGGAAGCTTTGAACAGGGCAAATCGCAAGGGGCCAAATGCTAAAAATTCAGCAAATAGATTGACTTTAAGTATAAAACATTCTGCTATATCCTGCGTTCAGGACATGGTAATTATCTCCAAACTACACAGTGGATTTTTCAGTGTTCACAGGAGCAAATGCCATAAATTGCCCTGCATGCTTCACCGGAACCTGAATCTACTGCAATCACTGGCATACTAGAGGCAAAAGTTTACTGCTTGAATGGGAAAGATGCTTGCTCTTCCAGGATGGTGTACCTGAAAATCATAGAACCACAGGATGGTTTTAGCTGGAATGGACCTTACAGATCCCATCCAGTTCCAGCCTCCTGACTTGTGCAGGGACACCTTGCACTAGACCACGTTGCCGCAAGCCCCATCCAACCTGGTCTTGAACACTGCCAGGGATGGGGCACCACAGCTCCTCTGCGCAACCTGTGCCACAGCCTCAGCACCCTCACAGGGAAGAACTTCTTTCACCTTATCTACATCTCCCCTCTGTCAGTTTAAAGCCATTCCGCCTTCTCCTGTCCCTACTTGCTCTTGACAAAAGCCCCTCTCCCCATTTCTTGTTGGGCCCTTTGGGTGCTGGAAGCTGCTCTAAGATCTCCCCAGAGCCTTCTCTTGGCCAGGCTGAACAAGCCCAGCTCTCTCTGCTTGTTTCCAGAGGATGTTACTAAAAGTTGAACTGGGAGTCAGAGGAAGGCCGTGAACAACTGCCAATTACTTGGATTGCAACAGTAATCTCTGTGTTCTTGTGCTGCTGGTACTGCAGAGAAAGAGAAGATGCACAAGGTATGAGACACGGGCACCACCTGGAGCCTCGCGTATGCCACTCTTAGAGCAGAAGACAATTAAATTTATGCTTTCACTGGTGCAGAACAAACCTGTTGGGCGTGCAAGGTGGTGGGTGAACTGAACATCCCCCATGGCTGGTTCCAGATCATGCAGTGAGGATATCAAATACATGAAGAAGATGAAGGTAGGGGCAAGTTGAATTAACGTTAGCTGAACAGTTACGAATGGCTCCTGGGACAAAGGCAATTAACAAATCCCTGCCTTCTCATGTACATAAAGTCTTGCAGAAGTGTTAGTGGTATGAATGTTCACTGCACAGACCCAAGATCACCTGAAAGCCTGCTCAAGACAAGTGCTGATTTCTAGAGTGTTCACAGAGAGCTGTGACTCCTTCCAGCCCACTGCTCTGAATGTGGTTTGATGAGCAGGTAGCAGGTTCCGAAGCACATGCCCTCAACAATGCTGTGCCTTTTGCTGTCCACAGGAAACATAGCTCTTTGCAGGCTGAATGAGCAAGGCAGGACCTGTGCGACATGCACACAAAGCACATCTCCAGATCTGCTTAAAGATTCCACAGATATCTTGTGGTTCTCTGAACACTCTTACGAAATAAACCAGTAATTTATCGGTCGCATGGGATTGCTGTACAAACCACAGGCATCCTCCTGTTGTCTGGCAGAGCTGTGAGAAGGAAGTGCAGGCCATGGAAGAGGTGAGGTGCTACTGAACCGTAAGTGTGCAATAAAGAGAGTCTAGAAGTTTGACCCCAGACTGATATATGTACATATTTCATCTTCCTCTTTCTAGGAAGCACAAGAAAACATCACAATATGATTTCACAGTGAACTCCTAAGATACCTTCCGTGGCAGCTTGCTGTGGTAGTGATGCCACTTCTTCCCTCACATAGTATTCATTAAAACCATCCCTTGAGAGGAACAGAAACTGAAATTTTGCTATTTACCATGAAGGCATTTCCATTTGTCTGCAGCTACTCCAGCCAGGCCTGAAGGAAAAGAGCAAGGTGATATTCACAGACAGGATGGAAAGAGGATGTTTCTGGCAGGCCAGCATGAAGCTCTTGACCCGTTCGTCAGACTTACTGACTAGACAGTGGAGCTAGCAAAGTTGTTCTGTTGCCATTGCGCCCAAAGAGATGCTAACTTTGGCACTTACACAGAAGTATGGTTCTTTACATAGACCATGAAAAAGCCTTCAGAAGTATGTGACAATTAAGTTTTGTATGGTGTTCTGTATTTTTGGGGGAAGATCAGGGGTGTCAGGATTCTTTTTACAATTACTGTCACGGCTCTAGCGCTTCTACAATCATTTCTGTTACTCCTGAGCTCTCAGGTACCTTCACTGGCATCTAGGACACGCTGTCTGTAAAGGCTTTGATCAAAACCAAGACAGGAACTCACTGGAAGTATTTCAAGTGGAAGGAGAGCAAGGTCACAATGATGAGGATTTAATACTAGAAGCATATGGCTATACTGGCAAAAATGAATAAGCAAAAGAAACATGAAGAATGTGGATCTTCCTCAGCCCATGCCAATTAGGGTTGATGGCAGGACCTCTGATATGCCCAAGAGTGCCAGTGCTATAGCTACAAGGCAAGCTCCAGGTAAGCAGAGTAAGCTGCTGGACTTCTGACTGTGGTACCTCACTGCTGGGACTAGAGGTGGCTGTTGTGATGCCACAGAAAGGGCTGGAGGGGAGATCTGGAGCCCAACATTCCAAGCACACAAACAGAAATCTGAGCATAAGAATTAATGGACAGATGGCAATAGGACAGACTGGGGAAGACCTGGCACGGCCTTTGGAATGAGATGTCTCACTTCACAAACCACTCAGAGTTCTTCAGAGATGTCCCCAGCTTTATCAAAAGGGACATGTGGGGTCCAGAGGCATTCCCAAAAGACATTCATCCTTCGCCAAAACAGGTAAAGAACCTAAGCTGCTGTGGCATGAATGAACCTCACAGGGTGCTAAGGAAGGGAAAAGGAGGTGGAAACATTTGCTGATGATTTTGTGTTCCTCAGGGTTAAAGACATAAAGGCTGACTACAAACTGTGGCACAGCCTTGAGATACTGACCAACCAGGTGACAGGAGACATTCACTGCAGGTAAACAAAGACCCATAGAGGAGAACAGCCTCTACAGCTTGCACTCACACCAGGCTGGGACTAGGATGTTCTTGATATCATTCAGGAATAGCACCTTGGAGTCTGAGCAGCTGGATGAAAACTGAAGCTCCTAGGCACACAACACAGCCAGTCAAGCAGCAATTAGTGCGGGGGGGGGGGGAAACAATAGGGAAGAAAAGAGAATGTAATTCTGCCTTGCTTCTCAAACCCCACATTCTTACTGTGTGCAAGCGGGAGGATGGATCCCCCATGTCACAGACACTCTGACAGAGCTGAGGAAGACAGAGGCATGACAGGAACCATCAGAGGCACAGAGCAGCTTCTGTATAGGAGATGAGTCAACTGCCCATTCTGCTGGGAAAAGGTACAGCTGACAGGGGGTATCACAAAGGACTATAAAAACACAAGTGGCCTGTGGGGTGGTTTGGCATCTATCCTGCATCACCTGTTCTAAATTAAGAACTCCTGCCAACAGGAAAAGGCACTTTCAAAGTAAACTAAAGGAGGCAGCAATTCATCACCTAAATAAGCTGGGGAACTCCTTGCTTGCTGCAAGCTGCCACGGCTGCTACAATGTGCACAGCTTGAGAAGGCAAGAAGATAGATCTTGAGACATTATGGGCCTAGTTCAGGAGCTTCTGAAGCCACAGACGGCTCAGGCCTGTGAAAGGATACAGGGACACATCACTGCTTGTCTGCCCTTCTCTGAGTCTTGATAAAAGGCTGGGCCTGCTGCCTGCTGTATGATTAAAGGCTGAGAGAGCTGGGCTTGCTCTGCCTAGAGAACAGAAGGCTCGGGGGAGACATGATCACCACAGTCCAGTATTTAAGGGTGCCTACGAAGAAAACGGGGGCTCCCTTTTCACAAGGAGTCACATGGAAAAGACGAGGGGTACAAGTTACTCCTGGGCAGATTCTGGTTGGACACAAGAGGAAAAGTTTTCCCAGTGAGAACAACCAGCCATTGCAATAATCTCCCCAGGGAAGTGGTGCACTCCCCAGTGTTGGACGCTTTAAAGACTCAGCTGGACAGGGCACTGGGACATCCAGTCCAGGTCATGCTTTGCCTGGAAAAGTTGTACTGGATGATCCTTGAGATCCCTCCCAGCCTGGTGCCCTGTGGCGCTATGAATACCGTCGCCACAGGCAGCAGGTGAAGCTGGACGGGCCCTGCTCCAACCCAGCACCTCCGCCCTTGTACATTCTGGGGGCGCTGGTGCTCCCGGAGCACTCTTTCTCATGACGGGTTCACACTGACGGCCCTTACCTGAGGTGCCGCTCAGAGCACTCTTCCCTTCGCAGGAGCGGGACAACCGCAGTTCCTCCTTCTGATCCATGTGGATGAGCATCTCCGGCGCCGCTCCGGGGAAAGAAACGAAGAGGGTCAGGCCAGCTGGGCTTTCACCGACCGCTACCAGCGGCGCGGCTCGGGAGCTAGCGGCTCCGCGACGAGCAGGGACCCCGGCTCCAAGGGGCGTGCAGCGGAAAGCACCGGGCCCCGCAGCACGCCCCTGCCAGGGAGGCTCACGCGGCCGCGGGGGGCGGGCTTCCGGGCCAAGCCCTACCGGGTCAGGCCCCGCTCCCTGCGGCCCGGCCAGGCCCGCCCTCAACGCCTGGGCCGGCGCACCAGGGGGGTGCTGCCCCGTGACGGCAGCGACCAGCGACGGGCGGTGCTTTCGCCTCCACGGCCGGAGGGAGATGGCGGCGCTGGGCTTCCGGTGGCGATGGTGCCGTCCTACGGTGGGGCTCCCCCCGCGGGCCTGCCGGTACCGAGTGATATAGGGAAAGCAACTGCCTGGAAAACATAGGGTTAAAATACTTTTAACTTCACTTAGGTCTGAGATAAAGAACAATGTTTGAGTTGTATGTCTGTGGTGTCATAACAGAATTTAGTAGTCTTACTAACAAGAGTGAACTATTTCTTACCATTGTGAAGTACGAGGTCACTCCTGTACTAGAGATAACAGGGTTTTATCCTTCGAATTAGTTAGTTTGGGGATAGTGAGTCCTGAACATCTGCTAGCTTCGGATACTCATTGTCTGCCCATCCTGCTCTTCTTGCAATACTTCCTGCCCTTGCCTTCCTGTGGTATGAGAGGATACTGGACTGCCTGCAGGAGTGTCTCATTCGGAATCGCCACTTTCCTCTTGTGGTGGTTCCTGTCCACAGGTGTTTTGTAATATTCTGGTACATCCCCAACTCCAGGGTTCCCTGCCTTTCCCAGTCTGGTACATCTCTGCCCTATACTACATGCCGAACTGAAGCACAGGCTCAGAATCTACAACTCAAGAGTTATAAAGCAGGTATGTTTATTACGGCACCGGGTCAAAGGGGGACCCCTCCTCCTAACTTGCACACCGAGGGGTTAAGCAAGCAGATATGTATTACACACAAACATGCATATTCATTAGGTTCCCGAGAGTTCGGTGGGGATACTACAATTACTTTGGGTACTCATTATAAGTCTCCTCCCTTTTGGCGCTTTTCACTGCCCTCCGATGGTCGTGGGCAGGGGTCTTCAAGATGCAGTAAGCAGTCTTCCTCAGGGTGCACTTTTCACCTTTGGCACAGTGGGATGCCCCAGTAATCACAAAAGTAGCTGAAACCAGCCGTATCTGCAAGTTCCGGGTTGCTGGCAAAGATTTGGACCAGTGTGACCTTCATACCCCAAGAGGTGTCATCCTTGGTCATCTCATGAAATATTGCAGTTTGTTTCCAAATTTCCCCCAGATCTGTTTCAATTCTGCCACTTTGTTCTATATAGGAACCATTGATTATGGAACAAACCCCTCCTTGTGAAGCCAATACCCTCTCTAGAGCCATTTGGTTCTTGTAACAATTTTGCGCTGACGTGTGAGCCTCCGTCAGAAGAAACTGCTGCTGGTACTCCAAAATGAGGTATTATCTGGTTTAATGCTTCTGGCCAGTGTGAAAAAGTATCCCTTAACACCAACAAATACCAATAACCTCCTTTTCTCAGCAATTAGAGGAAAATCAGTTTGCCATTGCTGTCCCGGATAACTTCCTCTCCCAATTGTCCCAATCTGATTTCTATTTTCACCTAATGAGTTTTATTATGTTTCTCCTGAACTAGCTTCCAGAGTTGATTATAGGGAATTACAATTTGCCCACCAGGTATCTGAACCCAACCCTCTTTGTTTTCCTGTCTTTTTTGATCTTCAATCAACTTTTTATCCTCTTTTGAATATCTAGGATCAGATTTCTCAATTGTTAGTTTGCTATCAGGGATTAAGGACATGATTTTAGATTGTTCAGATGCTCCTTTGGCTTCAAAACTGGCCAGATTATTTCCAGTTCTCTGATTAGGGTCACCTTGTTAATGCCCTCTACAATACATAATAGCTACTTCCTCAGGTAGCTGAACAGCAGTTTCTGTAGCATGTTTAACCTGTTTCCCTTGTATGTTCAAAAGTCCTCGTTCTTTCCAGATAGCACCATGTGCATGGACCACACCAAATGCGTATTTAGAATCAGTCCAAATATTTATCCTTTCATCTTCAGCCAATTCCAGGGCTCTCATTAATGCTATTATTTCTGCCTTTTGGGCAGAGGTGTTTGCGGGTAAAGGTTTAGCTTCTTTTACCTGTGAAGTGGTGGTAATGGCATATCCTGCTTTTTGTTCACCATTTTTCATTTAGCTACTACCATCAGTAAACCAAGAATCAAATCTGGTTGGCTCGAATATACAGTCTCTACAGTGGCCAAGCAGTCGTGTGTTAGTGGTTCTGTCGGTTGTACCTGCAAAAAGGATGCTGGATTCACAACATTAGTGACCACAATTTCTATATCTTCGTGTTCCATAAGGGTGGCCTGGTATTTTAAAAAACGTGAAGAAGATAACCAGTGGGCTCCTTTCTGTTCCAGAAACTGCTGATACAACATGGGACACTAGCACAGTAATCTTTTGTCCCAAGGTAAATATGCAAGCCTCTTCAGTATTCATGACAACTGCTGCCACAGCTCTTAGGCATCCAGGCCATCCTTTGCTCGCTTCATCCAGCTGTTTCGAAAAATATGCCACTGCCTTTTTATAGGGTTTCCTTTCAACAGTTCACATAGTGGTCTTACCAGAACACCATAATCATGGATCCAAAGTCTGCACCATCCAGTCATTCCCAGGAACATCCGGAGCTCCTTGATGGTCGATGGTCATGGAGTTTGGCAAATGGCTTCTTTTCTAACAATTCCAAGTTCTCTCCATTCTCCTGTTACTTCATATCCTAAGTAGGAAACTTGGGTTTGGATTAGTTGGGCCTTTAGTTTGGATACCTGATAACCATTCAGTCCCAGGAAATTTAATTATTCCACCGTGCACTGGATACATTCTTCCTTTGTTTCTGCATCAATTAACTAGTCATCCACATACTGTAACAGAGTCTCCATCTGTGTAGATGGCTTCCATGATTCCAGTTTTCCAAAAATTGTTGGACTGTTTTTAAACCCTTTAGGTAATACCGTCCAAGTTAACTGAGTTTCCTTTCCTGTGTCAGGATTTTCCCATTCAAAAGCAAATAATTTTGGCTTTCTTTGGCCAATGGTAAGCAAAAGAAAGCGTCCTTTAAATCCAAGACAGCAAACCATTTGTGATTATTATTCAATTTAGTCAGTAAGTCATACGAATTAGCTACTACTGGACGAATATCCTCTGCAATTTTGTTGACTGCTCTGAGATCTTGAGCCAGTCTGCTCAAATGTTGCTTCTCGCCCTAATAAAGATTTTGGAGAATTTGGCATGCATAAAAGTTTATGCATTCCTATTTGTTTTCCCAATTTGTACTTTAAAGGTTTCAGGAAGAAAGCCTCTTTTTTTTTTTTTTTCTCTTTCCCTTGCTGGCCAATAGGTCCCACATCTGTAACAAATTCTTTCCTCTCTGATTTAGCACGAAATAAGTTGCTCCTGTATTCACTAAAATTCCACTTTATTTTCTCTAGTGACTGGCATTTAATTTAACCGGTGGATCTGATAAGGTAGATTCCCGAGGTCCCTGTTATTCCAGTTCCAATTCAGCCGTAAGAGCCAAACCATGCCACACCCCCTGCCCCCCCCTCCCCCCCCCCCCCCCCCCCCGGCAGTCTCACTTCCAGCGTCCAAGCTCCCCATAGCACGCACACCGACCCAGTTCCACAGAAGACCCCACTCCCCCACCTCCGCCCAACATCCCTCCTCCCACACTCAAACACAGGAGCTGCTCGAGCTCCTCTCACTTCCACCTTAGTTTTCCCTTTCTTTTTCCTCACAGTTGCCCACCCTGCTCTGCAGCGGCTCCAGGCTCCAGATGCCTGCCTCGGCAACAGCACTTCTGCTTTAACCCTTTATTAAATCTGAATGTGGATCTGCTGCTTGTTGCCAGTGACAGCAGTCTCTTCCTCCTTATCAATATCTGATAGATGCAGAGGGTCCTCCTCTTGGAGGTTACCTGTGATGCAGAATTTTCCAACCTATCTTCCTGATTACTCTAGGTTTTTCTTAACTTTAAACATCATTCCCCCACTATCACAGGCTGAACAACATCTCTCCAACTTAGCTTTCTAGTTTTCCCTGTCCTTTTCTGAAGCCAAAATTAAGGAATCTGGCAGAGCTCTATTAATTTTGCATTCAGTCCGTCACGCCGGGTGGTTTCCTCAAGTGAAAAACATATCTGCATACATCATTTCATCCCATTTTACTTGCCCCCTCAAAACAACATTAATTGTAACAATGTATTATAGTTCAGAGTTCCATTTTTAGGCCATTTTTCCTGATCTACCAAAGTATACGAAGCCCACCATTGTTTACAGTATTTTACCGTTTTGTTTACTGAGCCCACAGGAAACCCTCCCAGTTCTTTCCAGTGTGCCAAAATGCACCCTAAAGGACTCTTTTTCAAGATCTCTCCGTTCTGCTGATTTTCCATTATCAATCTCGCATTCACACACACACACACAGGATCCCACAGACACACTCCACACAGTTACAACACATTGAGACAGAGACTAAAATTCAACCAACCAAACAACAATAACACAGTTATAACATCCTGCCGCCAATACCAAAATCACAAGACGAAAATCATTACTGTAACAAGCCACAAAGTAAGTCAAATACCAATAAGACCCAAAACCATTTCACAAGACACTCCCTGTGTTTTATAGGACCCAAACCACAAGATGCCCCCTGCTTCTTGTGGGTGTATACCAGCAGCCAGGTATATGCCTTTACCTACCACCTGTGTATTGATACACCAAAACCTTGGGGCAAGCACCTGCACTCTTTACCTCGCGTAGGACGTCTCCTCACGACTTACAGGTATCCCCTTTACCTGGTTCAAACATACCTGATGATTCACTAGTGATGGTCCTTGTCTGCCCCTGCGGTGATCTCAGTGGGGGAGTCCTCCCAAGAAATCTTCGGGGTGCCCAGAAGAGTCCCACCATAAGGGTGGCCTGGTATTTTAAAAAACGTGAAGAAGATAACCAGTGGGCTCCTTTCTGTTCCAGAAACTGCTGATACAACATGGGACACTAGCACAGTAATCTTTTGTCCCAAGGTAAATATGCGAGCCTCTTCAGTATTCATGACAACTGCTGCCACAGCTCTTAGG